CAGCAAATTTCAAGATAAACAGACCTAAAAAGAGTTAAAATGGTCAATTTTATGTTGCAATTTACCACAATAAAAAAAATAATCTGAAGCTCAATTGGTTGGCGCGTCATCCTGTATACCAAAAGGTGGAGGGTTCAATTCCTAGTCAGGGCACAAACCCAGGTTCAGGCTTGCTCTCCGGTCAGGAGCAACCAATAGATTTTCTCTCACATCGACATTTCTCTCTCTCTCTTCCTCTCTCTCTCTCTTCCTCTCTCTAAAGTAATAATAATAATAATAATCTGAAGTAACAGAAAAAAATCTTTGTACAGCTAAATTGGATTCTTCCTTAGTATTAGTTACAGGATATCTGTAGTTCAGGCTGAGTTAGAATAACATACATGCCGTTTTAGAAATGAGAGAACTGTTCCTTCACAGAGTCAAGAATATATAATGAACTACGGTGATGGCATTTTTAAAAGGGAACCACGCTGGGCATCTTTATGTAGTGTGACATTCTTAGTGTCAATATGTCTTCTTTTCTGGAACGTTTCCATTTCATGGGTCTTTCTGCTTTTCTGTTTGAAAAGGACTAAACTTACGAGTTAGAGCGATGCTGAAAGAAGTTTAAAATTTGTTTTGCATTTGTTGTGTTCCATTCTTGTTCTTTCAGGGGTCCTTCGCACACAGATACATACTTTTTCAAAATTTTCTCTCCTACTTCTCGGAAATCCAAGGGCTCTCTGTGTGTAGTGCAGCTTGCTCCAGAAACACCTGCGTCCACGCCCTGGTTTTCTGGCTGCTGATCGGCACAATGCTTCAATCCCCAGTAACACATTTCTCCACTGTACATCATAGCCAGCAAGTGAATGTCACTGAATATTCCTAGGGAAGTCATTTAGGTTGAGAGATTAGAATTTAGAACGTTAAAAAAGAAACTGATTAATAAAATTCTAATAAATTCCTTTTATGTCATCATTTTTCCTTCTCATTTAATAGTTACACTTAGAAAAGCCAAATATCACTAATGCAATCCTCACTGAATTGGCACTCTATTTTTATTTTATCTATAAATAGAACCCTTCCCCCACCCCCACAAAAAAGAGTACTGTCAGAGACTTTTTTAAAACAGATCATTTAGGTCAGTGTGTTCTTAATCTTTTTGGAATCCTCTTTAAGGCCTCTTTGAGAACCTAATCCAGGGGTCCTCAAACTACGGCCCGCGGGCCACATGCAAATACAAATATTGTATTTGTTCCCGTTTTGTTTTTTTTACTTCAAAATAAGATATGTGCAGTGTGCACAGGAATTTGTTCATAGTTTTTTTTTCCAACTATAGTCCGGCCCTCCAACGGTCTGAGGGACAGTGAACTGGCCCCCTGTTTAAAAAGTTTGAGGACCCCTGAATCAATGGAACCTCTCCTGGGACATATGCCCAAAATTCTACACACAATTTCAGAGTACTCAGAGTCTCCCTGAAGGCCACCATGAAAACAACTTTTAATTTAGGATGTACTCTAGAATCAGTATTACAGTTCCAGTCAAGTATACTACACCTCCTACATTTCCACAAGAATCTACAGAAGTTATCATGCATAAACATGACCCTGAGCCCAGCCAGCATGGTTCAGTGGTTGAGTGTCAACCTATGAACCAGGAGGTCAACGATTCGATTCCCGGTTGGGGTACATGTCTGGGTTGTGGGCTCGATCCCTAGTGGGCGGGTGTGCAGGAAGCAGCCGATCAATGATTTACTCTCATCGATGTTTCTATCTCTCTATCCCTCTCCTTTCCTCTCTGAAATCAATAAAAATGTATTTTAGCCCTAGCTCGTCTGGCTCAGTGTTTAGAGCATCAGCCTGCAGACTGCAGGGTCCCAGGTTCGATTCTGGTCAAGGGCACATGGCCAGGTTGCGGGCTCAATCCCCAGTAGGGGATATGCAGGAGGCAGCCAATCAGTGATTCTCTCTCATCATTGATGTTTCTATCTCTCTCTCGCCTTCTCCCTCTCTCTCTAAAATCAATAAGAATATAGAAAAAAAATAAAAATGTATTTTAAAGAAACATCACCCTGAGAGACCATATAATTCTAAATTATCAAAGATGTTAAATTATATCTAAGATGCTTTATGTTCCCAGGAAAAGGGAATACATGCAGGATTTTCATCAAAAGTTAAAGCAATCTTATTATGAAATAAGGCAATTATATAATTAAACATTTGTGGCACACAAAGTATATTAATTTGGTAGAAAGAGGAACAGACTTGGAATCAAAAAATATAAATAAATGACTATGGTATAAACTATATGACTGGTAAACTTCTTAAAGGCACTAGAAATAGTTTTTTTTATTCTAATGTACAGGTACTTGTATGATTAGAAAAGTCTACCTCAAATGAGCATCATAATCTCAGTTGCTCACCTAATATGACTCATCAGAAAGGATTATGATGGTACTAAAGACACAAAAATAGAAGAAAAATTCAACTTTCAAAACCGTTAGTTTCTATCATCTTGACTCTACTGCAAGCTTTTCATAGTCTTAGCATTTGTCCCTAGAGCTATCCCCTTCACTTCCCCTCAAATCCTGCTTATAAACAGTAGCAAGAGAAGAAATAGCTTTAGCTGAAGAGCTGACTCATTAAACTGTTATATCAATTTTAAAAAATGATCATTTAAGAGCAGAATCTGAGGCTTGCATTCATGAAAATATGATAGACAACACTGACATGTTAATTATACTTTCTGTGTGTAAAACAATGTTCACTTAATAAGTACAGTGCATATTACACATAATCATTGCTTTTTACTTTATTCCTTCATACTTAAAATATCATAAACCTCAGAGAAAAAGCTGAAGCAGCATTAGATGCTATTCAGAATTATATTTTGTATTAGATTCAGCATTTCACTGAATGCATAGCCTTTTTATTTCTGTAATCCTACACCTTGCTTAGTTATTCCTAAAATTAATGGGGTGGTCCTCAGTGGTGTAAAAAAGGCATAAAAACCTTGGTGGAGGAAAGGAAGGAGGTAGAAGCCGAAATGGAGGGAAGGTTGAACGTAAAGCAGGCTGCAGCTTGGGGAGGAGCTGAAGTATATCCCAGAAAGTGAAGCCAGTTGGGTAGGGTGAGAACTGGGATCTTATTTTGTGCCCAACTCCAAGTGAACCTCATTCTTTATATTAAGGAGGGTTGACTGCTGAACAAGGGACACTATCCTGCAGGAAGATTTTACCAGGGACCGAATGAATGGCTATACGACAAAGAGAGGTCCTTAAACTTTAGCCTGCTTTAGAATTACAGGGAGGATGTGCTAAAATGCTGACTGCTGGGCGCCCACCTCCACAGTATCAGGTTCAGGTATGGAGTTGGGTCTATGAATTTGCATTTTTAACAAACCACTAGGACCTAGGGTGATGATGATGCTGTGGACTATGCTAAACTACTTACTGCATTAAAATATCCTGCATTAAAAGGATGAACAATGTAAAAATTAGGCACTTTCTACCTCTCTACTGCCCCAAGGAATCTACTACTCTGTAACTATAGTCTATTGTTTTTAGATAAACTACTTCACTTGCCTGCACAGTCTAGGACACACATGATAGTGGGGAATACAGAGCAGGAGAGGGAAAGTAAGTGAATGAGGGCAGAAAGGAGACTGCCACATTAAAAAGCTGGCAGATTGGCATCCCTAGGAGCAGTGAGGTCTCAATCTGACCGCATCATAATTATGTGAGCTTACTCAAGATTCCTGGACCCATATACTGAATCAGAACCTGTGGTGGCACACAGAAGCCTGTATTTTTAGCAAGCTGCCCTGGCAATCAGCAATGCCAGTTCAGAGCCACTCCTTCAGGGGATCTGAAGTCCAGTTTCTTGGTTAAGCAGTGGGCCAAAGGGTGGCCGGAAGCGGGTGGTCCTCAGTGGCATAAAAGCATAAAGCAAGGGTGTGCAAAGCTCAACTGTATTTGATTTAATCTAGTTAACTCCAGGGTTATTCTGACAAGGCTATTTTTATAAGGACACGCCGAGGAATGAAGCTCAGAGATGGGGTAATGAGGTTTACTGAATAATATCACTTGGTCATTTTTAAAAGCTGAAAACTTAATGACATATAGGTAATGTTCAAAGCACTATATGATTACCTTACTTTGGAAAAAGAAAGAAAAAATATTACTAAGTATAAACTGTTTTATCTAAAATTAGGTAAATTATCATTATGATCTGTCCATAAAAATATTCTGATGACTCATAGAACTTTTCTCCCTAATGAGAATTGGGGATTTTCAGAATTTGTTTTATATTGGCTAACAAAAAAATGAAAAAATAGTTAAATGTCTCTGATGGGGTCTCTGGAGTAATTTAGCCTATGAAAAGTAGGCTTGCTGGTTTCTAGTTACCTTGAGAGAGGAATTACAGAGGAGCAAACAGCTTTAGTTGAGAACAAGAAGCCAACAGCAAGAGAGAACCAAGCACTGTGACAAATCCAATATGGCCATAATATCGTTTTCTTTGTTTCTGGAAAAAAAGTGACTTCTCTGTCTCTTTTGATTCCTGTTATAAATGAAATAGAAGCTAGAAGCAAGAGCAAATGACAATCTAAGAGAAGACACCAGTACTTGACTTGAGGTGGTGACCACACAATACAGGGTTACAGATGACGTGTTGTAGAATTGTGCACCTGAAACCCATATAATCTTTTTAACCAGTGTCACCCCTATAAATCAAATTTAAAAAAAGAAGAGCAGACACCAGTATCACATGCATGTTGAAGAAAAAGTTTCAGGCCATGAGAGTATCTTACCTTGTGGCTACAAATGGGAGTAGGGAAATAGATGGCTTGTGCCACTTTCTTTGGTTCTAAATAGGCTTTAGTGCCCACCCCTACATTTTCTTTTAAGTTAATCCATGCTAGTGCATAAGGAGATGTTTAAAAAGCCATTCTGAATGCAGCTAATCAGTTCACTAGCTGTCTGGAATAAGTACTTCCCACAAGTAAATCAAAACACCCCATGTCTGTCAAAATGTCTACTGAAGGAACACTTTGTATTCACAATAACGCTTCTTTAGGACAGGTTATTTGCCTGAATAAACTAAAATTAAAAGTTTTTGGAGCCAAAACCGGTTTGGCTCAGTGGATAGAGCGTTGGCCTGCGGACTGAGCAGTGCCGGGTTCGATTCCGGTCAAGGGCATGTACCTGGGTTTCGGGCACATCCCCAGTGGGAGATGTGCAGGAGGCAGCTGATCAATGTTTCTCTCCCATCGATGTTTCTGGCTATCTATCTCTCTCCCTTCCTCTCTGTAAAAAATCAATAAAATATATTAAAAAAAAAAAAGTTTTTGGATATCACCAGCCAGTCGTGTATTAGTGACACTTATATCATGTTTTTTTCTATCTAATTTTTTAAATAGAAAAAGCCTACAGAAACTAACAAAGGAGAATTAAACTTTATCTATAAAATGAAAATATAGAATAATCTCTAAGAAGTTTTCTTTTCCCCATATTTGATTTTCCCCCATCAAAATTTCAGATCAAGTATAAAAGAAAGTTTACACACGGATCATGTACATCACTTGCCAGCTACATGACTATGAACAGGTATTATCTGGTTTATCAGGGCCTCAGTTCCTCCCATTGTAAAAGAGATGGTAAAAATAAGTGGTTCTTCCTCCTGCACCTCAGTCTAAAACCCAGATGATCCTCTATATCCAATTCCTAACATTTTTAAGTGCACAGATGTTCATGGCAGAAACTAACAGTCGCCACCCAATATTCATTCATTCTCCCTTTCTTTCTTGGTAAAGAGACTTAATTTTATTTGGGATGGCAATGTACCAGAAAAGGACTATACTTTCCAGGTTCCCTTGTAGTTACATGACTCCATGTGGCCAGTGAAATGCAGGTAAAGTGATGCTCCAAAGGAGTGAGTGGACTTGGGTGAAAGAAGCATCTTTTGCCAGCCCTGTAGACTGAAACATAGGTGAGAGGGAGGCTTCCAGGAGCATGCTGGGACACTGAGAACGCCAGCAGGATCCTCACAGGGAAGCATGCTGCACAGCACTGGGAAGCACTGCTCACATTGTATTCTCTATACAGTACCTTCCTCTGAAGCTGAAGAACTCTGATTCTAAAGATGATGAAGGAAAAACATAGGAACCTGATGACACCAGGAAGCCAACATAACCAGTTCTGGGTCTTTTTTATGTGCAAGAGAAGTACAGGTCTATCTTGTTTCAAAGTTACTTCCAATTTCTGTTACAAGCAGTAAAACTAAGTTGCTGACCAGGGCTACGGAGGGATGTAAAATGTAACAGGATATATAACGCTCCCAAAATTACAAAACAGACAGGTTAAGAGTATTTTTCTATATTACATGAGAAGATCTCTGAATTTTTAGAAGCCATTTTATTTTTGTCTTTGATGTAATTTGAAATTTACTTAAATCAGAGTAAAATATGATAAACTTCTTAAATTTTTAAAAAACTTTAAAAACAAAAACTTCAAAAAGAGATCACATTACCTTCACTCAGTAACTTAGCTGTGTCTAGGTCTTGGAAAGAAACTCCTTCATCTAATTGGGTAGGACACCGATAATTTAGCATCTGTAGCAAGTAACTGATTCCATCAACAAGGTACTAAATGAAAGTCAAAGCCAAAGAATTGAAAGTATTACATGCAAAGCTATCGGAACTTCAAATGTTAACTTTTTCCCATTCTTTACTCAAGAAAAATGGGCTAATATATAGCTAGGTCTTATTGCTATTACATTTCAATAGTCTAAGGATCTATTACCTCAAAACTTTTATAATACATATTCTAAAGTGTCATCTTCAAAATGCTCCAGTTATGAGTATGGAAGAAAAAAAATCATTAACCAAGAACACACGATTCAGTAATATACTTGTCAAAAATGTTCTCAGAGGAAGAAAAGGATAAAGATGTGTTCAACAGACCTAGCTGGTTTGGCTCAGTGAAGAGCGTTGGCCTACAGACTGAAGCGTCTAAGGTTCAATTCCAGTCATGGGCACATGCCCGGGTTTCGGGCTCGATCCCCAGTAGGGAGCGTGCAGAAGGCAGCCAATGGATTCTCTCTCATCATTGATGTTTCTATCTCTCTCTCTCTCTCTCTCTCTCTCTCTCTCTCCCTTCCTGAAATCAATAAAAATATATATATTTTTTTAAAATGGTGTATTCAACAATTTATTAAAAATATGTATGTACTTACTATAATTTAGAAATGATATTCTCAAATTTTTACACCTAAAAGGGTGACCGCTCATTTCCAGGCCCCCATGAACCATATGTACAATCAACCCGTTAGACTCCCTAGTGACACAATACTAAGACCGTCTTGAGATTTATTGATTTGGTCAGAGAGTCAAACCAAATCAGAGCCAGTTTTCTAGCAGCAGAGTCACGTGGGTTCTTCAGGCGTGATCTGCTGACAAAGAGGCTCACAACCACGTTTGTTTTCTTCAGGCCAAAAACTATGCTTAAAAATTAATATATGTTGTCTACCTTATATTTAAAAAAAACAACAACAAAAAAAATCATGAACTTATAGAACTTTCCAGTAAGCAAAGGGCTTTTACCTGTTATCTTACTTAATTCACAGTAAGTCCAATTTGTTTACGATTACACAGCTAGTAAGCAAAAGACGTGGAATGAAGACCCCTTGGTTCCAATAGTCTTTACACCACACCAAAGACAGCTTTTAGGAACCTATAAACTTAACAATCAAAAAGGACTGAGGAATGCCTTCTTACCTCTTTAAGCAAACCAGATTTCCTCGTGAGCCACTCTCTCCTTTTGGTCAGAGAATGACAATACATATAAAGTAGGGCTCCTCGTCGCCAAGAGAGACATTCCAAGAGTTCGTCCCCAAGTAAATCGCAGTGCTGAAACACAACAGAGACAGAGCTAAGAAGAGAAATGTGATGTCTGTAAAAGTAAGTTAAATTTCAAAATACTGAGAAATTAAAAACACTTATTTCACAACATTTTCTCTTCGTTTAGCTATTTACACAGGAATGCTGTACTTTGAATCAATTAGAAATACAGACATCTATTGCTACATGAAAATTAAAATAACTACTCCACTTATAAATATTTTTAGAAAATAGTTTAAATATTTTAGTAGCAAATTCTAATGTATATAAAATATAAATATTCAATAATCTGATTTAAAAGATAGTTTTTTAGAACTACATATTACTTGAAACAAGATCTTACCTATTTCTACCATTGCTAGAATAAAATAATAAAAAGATATACACAAAAACAACCTTAATCAAACTTTTACTGTGTTGTGTCATTTAAAATTTGGGAGTATTTGTTTCTACAATTAGCATCCCCCTCATGAACACATAGAGCACAAAAGATATCTAAGGGGAGATAAGCAGCAAGCAGTTAAAGATGAATTATTTCCTTGAAAAAGTAGCCATAGCTGGAGATAAAAATCTTGGAATCATCTAAATAGGATGCCGTAACAAGCATACAACAGGTTATAAAGCAAGAATAGAGACGGTCAGGGGATTAAGGCGGTATCCTTGGGTGCCTGTCTCCAGGATGGGAGGAAGGGGAACTGTTGGGGAAGGAGTAAAACTATAAAAGGACAAGGGATGTGGTCATTAAATTACTCGGGAAATGCAGACCCTCAAGAAAATGCAGTGTCTGCAAAAGTAAAGGGAGCAGAAATAGCAAGTATCTTTGCTTAGAAAATGATCAGGCACTGTAATTACAATACAATTACATCAGGAAAGTATTCTGAAACATATTTAGAAAATATAATACTTTAGGTGTGACACTGGTCTGAAGTGTAATCCCTCCTTCAATCTTAATTTAAAACAGACACAGACATAGTCAAGAAGAAAAAACACAGACTCTAAACGGCAGTCCATACAGCAAGAATTAGCAGCTTCACCATCATTCACGAGTATAAAACTTACTTTTGGGTACATATTATTTTCTTTAACTAAAATTTCTGGTTCTGAAAGAAAAGTGATCAACTCTTTTACTTTCTGGGAAGAGTCTTCAGGGAAATCTTCATCTACTAGCTTGTTCTCCTCAAAATACGTCATGTCCAAAATGGCCTGATGATGTACAAGAGAAAACAATAGCTGTAAGTGATTTCTGCCTGAATAACTCTTACAGTTTAACTTTACATGTGTACAGATGTTTTCTTAGACATTTACATTTTCTAGTGCACTATTTAAATTTGAGGCCCTGGCCAGATAGCTCAGTTGGTTAGAGCATAGTCCCTATAAGCCAAGGTTGTGGGTTCCATCCCTGGTCAGGGCACATACAAGAATCAACCAATGAATGAATGAATGGATAAACAAGTGGAATAGCAAATCAATGTCTCTATTTCTTCTCTCTGTCCTTCCCTCCCTCGCTCTAAAATCAATCAATACATGTTTAAATTTGAAAAGTAGGCAAAATGTCTAGCTGAAAACATAATCCAAGATGAACTTTATGGAAAACTTCATAGCTATTTTACTAAAATACTAAATTAATGCTGACCTTCCTTCCCTCAGAAAATAAAAGCGAGTTTTATATTTTAATTCAGGTAAGTAAATCATATACAATATTATGAAAAGTATAATTATATATTCTTTGCTATTTATACATATATACTCTGGACATTTTCTAAATGGCTCCTGTATCAAGTTAAGATCACTACCTCTAGTTTTGTAAAATGAATCTTCAAAGGATTTGTTTTCCCAAATGCAGATTCAACCCACCAAAGGCAGCATATCACCAACATTATGCAATTCAAACACTAAGACCCCAGCATTCTTAAATACAAGACACTCTGTTCAAATACCTTAAAACTACCCAATCCTTTTTTTTTAACCTATTGGACTAAGATGAACAAAACTGTGTTCTAGTATCAGTTCTACCACTAATCACCTAATCAAAGGACAAGTCAATTTATGTTTTTAAGCCTCAGTTTCTTCATTGATAAAATGAATTGGACTAAATGACTTTCAAAGTTCTTTGCTTTGAAGATAAAAAGAATTGACATACGTAAAGTGGTTCTCAACCTGTGGGTCGCGACCATCGGAAAACACATATAGCATAACAGATATTTACATTACGATTCATAACAGTAGCAAAATTACAGTTATGAAGTAGCAACGAAAATAATTTTATGGTTGGGGGTCACCACAACATGAGGAACTGTCTTAAAGGGTCGCGGCATTAGGAAGGTTGAGAACCACTGACTTAGAACATTACTTGGCACACAGCACTACTTAAGTGATAAATGTTCTTGTCGGAGGTTAAGCCAGGAAGGAGGAGATCATCCTAAGAAAAGTGACCTGTTGATTCAGAGCCATAAGTGGGATCCAAGGGAACCTGGGGACTATAAATCTAGGGCCTTTTGCTGTATTCTTAGAAATAAATTAAGATGTTTAAAACTCTCTCATGTGAAAGAAATGACACAAGCTGGGAGCCTTCTGAAAGGAAAGAAAGCCAGGGCAAGTTCTGCCAAATCACAACAGTTCTTTGGGGTTTGTGAGTAGCTGTCACAGACTCATTTGACCATGACGTTTGAAGGCAGAAGCCATCTTATGTTCTTCCAAACAAAAAACACAGTGCCAGGCATCTCAATGCTGTAAATGTACACGTGAAGGTTAACCAAGTTTACTCTGCTTTCTGTTTCTTTTTTTAAAAAATATATTTTATTGATTTTTTACAGAGAGGAAGGAAGAGGGATAGAGAGTTAGAAACATCGATGAGAGAGAAACAATGATCAGCTGCCTCCTGCACACTCCCTACTGGGGATGTGCCTGCAACCAAGGTACATGCCCTTGACCGGAATCGAACCTGGGACCCTTGAGTCCATAGGCTGACACTCTATCCACTGAGCCAAACCGGTTAGGGCTGCTTTCTGTTTCTTTTCTTTTTGTTATGTATTGGTTTGGGGTGTACAGCTTAGTTGTTAATCATAAACTTTACATATTTCCAGAACCCCAACTGGCACCATACATAGTCATCACAATATTTTTTAAAAATATATTTTATTGATTTTTTACAGAGAGGAAGGGAGAGGGATAGTTAGAAACATCAATGAGAGAGAAACATCGATCAGCTGCCTCTTGCACACCTCCTACTAGGGATGTGCCCGCAACCAAGGTATATGCTCTTGACAGGTATCGAACCTGGAACCTTTCACCGACACTCTATCCATTGAGCCAAACTGGTCAGGGCTCATCACAATATTATTGACTATGTTCCCTATGTTATAATTACTTCCCCGTCACTACTCTTGTAGCCACCAATTACTCTACTTTCTATAAGCACTCATCTGTATTATCCCTGAGGATCAAGTAAGGGCATATGAAGCACTCTATTAACTATAAGATGTTGTAGGAATGTTAGTTACTATCTATAATAATAAAAGCGTAATATGCTAATTAGACCAGATGTCCTTCCGGACGACCTTCCAGACAAAGCCGGGGCTTCGAGGGAAGCCTGGGTCCCGGGTGCTAGAGGGAAGCCGGCAGCCGAGGGAAGGAAGGCCTACTCTTGCACGAATTTTGTGCATCAGGCCTCTAGTAATGAAATAATGTTTAATGTCAACTTGCCTCAGCAATGTTTGAGAAAACCAAGAAAACAGATCTTGTCCATACAGAGGCCTAATCTGAAAGCAAAGAAAAAGAAAAAAAGGGAAAAGGGGCAACAGAACAATCTTACAGAGTTGCATGATAATAACAGAGGGAGTCATGTTCAGAATCCTAAGGAAAGGAGAATTTCAGGGGGGAAAAATAACTGGGGCTCTTTAGAATCCTCCATTTCTTCTGAATAACCTTCAAAATTGGACATAGTCCTGTTTTGCTTACTTACCTATAAAGGGAAGCAATTCTGTTACCTGCAAGATTTTATTCCTTATTTTTCTTATCAATACACATCTACTAAATCTTTACTTCTTTGCATATTGCCTCCAAGTTTCAAGTCTGTATACTTTGTACATACAGTTTTTGAACAAAATCAAACACTTGAAATAGAGAATAACATGATTTTATTAGACCTAAACACTGGAATCGATCCTCTAATTAAGCAATTTGCCCCATAACATGTCAGAAACCACATCTGTCTTAGTACCTGTGTGTAAAGTTCTAGTAGATTCGATGGATTTGAACACTTTTTTTCTTCTCCACACAAGAGTTTCAATTTTTCTAGAGCTGCAGAGGCCCGAATTAAAAAGTGATCTGTAAGAGAGAAAAACATGTTGATTACTTCACATAATTTCAAACTGTTATTTAAACAAAAAAAGTTATGGATCTTAAATGATTAAATAAAATTATGTTTGGCACTGGAGAAGAGCATGGTAGCGATAATAGTTTATGTAAAACAAATATAACGTAATGCCTAATCCTAATTAAGCTAATTTATGATGGACATTTATTCTGGAAAGCTAGACTGAAAACTTCCTAAATAGCCTAAGTATCTTAGATACAGTTGCAGGTAATAGCCTCTACTATCGATCAACTAACCATTCATGTGCATCCCGGGATTGACTTACCACACCTAAAAAGAAGTTGGCTTCTGGGTATTCTACGGATTTTGAAGAACATACCGCTAAGAAAAAAAATAATTCCGCAAATAATCTTGACTAGAACTAGAGCTATCTCATCATAGACCCTAGTCAACAAACTTACCAACTATTTATTCAATCACTGGGGTCAATGTCCCACTATTTCCTGAGTGCGATGACAGCGAGTCCACAAGAACTTAAAAGCCGATCTACATTGTAATAAAGGCTCAAGACTCAAAAGAAAAAACATAAGATCTACAGGCAGCAGAGAAGTCATGAAAGAGAACTGGACTTAAAATCAGAAGTCGAGGCAATTCTCTACTTTTTTTTTTCTTCTTAAGGAAACCACTGTTGTTTAAAAGTGTTCTGATCCCGAGGGGACCCTTGTGAGAACCGAAGTGATGTGTGTGCAAGAACCAATGCAAAGCCCTTCCGTAGAAGACTGTTTACAGTTGAGCTGAGAATCCCAGTTAAGACAGAAACTGAAAACGAAGCAACAGAAGTGTTACTGCTGCACCGGCCTAGCTCTTTCCTGCGCGCACAACCACGACCTGGGTGCTGTCACCAGCGCGAACCTGCAAACTTTTGTGGGCCCTGTTCTCGGGTTCTGCCCCGGTCCCCGGGGCTCCCGAGCCAATGCACGGCAAGCAGCACTGATCTGACTGAGACGCACGCGGTTGTCATGGGTGATAAAATCGCAGCCCCGACGCCAACGCCTTCGCTTAAGGCGATGTGAGTCCTGCGGGACTGACACGGACCGCGCACCGAGCGCGCGCAGACCGCAGGCCGCAGCCCCCGCGCCCACGGCTGCAGCCAGCTCTGCGCCGCCCGCCCGCCTCCCCGCCTCCGCCCCTCACCGTCCTCGCCGGCGGCCTCACTGAGTTGCTGGATGTGGGCCTGGGCGAGGTCCCCCAGCTCCTCCACTCGCCTGGCCACACTGGAGCTTGCGGCCGCCATGGCCACCAGCCGCGGGCGCGCCCCAGCACGTGACCGCGCCGCCAGCGGTCACCTGATCCCCGGGCGCCGGCGCGGCGTGGGGGCGGAGCCCGCCGGGTGGGTGGGCGGGGCCCCGGGCCCCGGGCCCCGGAGGAGTGCAAACTCGGGCGGGCGAAGGGCGTTCGGGGATATTTCCTCCTTCTCGGACTATCCTCCCTCCCATAATCCTGAGCGGCCAGGCTTTAGGGGCGGGTGTGCCGTCGGGACACGCCTCTGCCCCGCCCTCCTCTAAGCCAATCGGAGACGTCCATGCCCCCAGGCTGACCCAATGGGAAGCCAGCTCTCTCCGCGGGGAGCCGGGAGGAGGTTGTCAGCAGCTGGCGGGTGGGCGGCGGGCAGGTGGTGCGCGGTCCCTGGCTCGCGCCTCCCTACCCCGAGTTGCAGCTGCACTCAGTAGAGCCCGCAGGGAAGTCTGGGAATTTTGGTCTGGCAGTGAGGAGGATGCCTGACTATAATCTGGTCAGAAATGGAAAGCCCGATGGCCCCCTTTCAGCTCATCCTAGTCTCCGAGAGGTAATTGGGTGCGGAGCTCCAAGCCCTAGTGGAAGTTGAGTGTCGCTTTTCTAAATCTTTATTTGAGCAGCGGGGTTTGTTTCATTTCTGATCTGCATTGGCTAAGCTGACATTCAAAGTCCTTTATCCGTCTCGCGTTCACTAGTACCCACATTTTGCATTTGCAAACATTCTTATTGTTTGACGTTTAGATTTATTGGTATACGTCTAAAGCGCCCACTGTGCGCAAAGTTCATCCTCCACTGTGAGTTTCAAAGCCCTTAGTCGACGAGTCTGACTTTCATTTTGCATTCCCTGTTTTCAAGTCTATGATCAAATCTTTAACTCAGTTTTTTCGTTTGCAATTTGACACCGTACATCTTGAAAAATCTTCATTCTATCTTATTTCTTATGGAAGGCAGTGTTTTTATTTATTTACACTAAATATAGGGAAATGGTGTATTGTGGTTTATAAGTGAATCACCACAATGCCTTTCTAACTGATGTTTGTAACACCAGTTTCCTCCTCCGATTCACCCTAAATATAGGGGACAGGAATCCTGTATTAATTCTGTGTCCTCAGTGCCTGGTACAGAATGCGTACCAGGAAAATGTTTACTAATTGAACAAAAACTCCACGTTATATTGTCAATTTATTACTCAAATCAGGAAGCTGAAGGCCAGGAAAGTTGCATTATATGACAACGTGGGCTAAGGAGTCAAAACTAATGAGCATTCGACACCTCAAAATGCCAAACCTCACTGTATATTTTAAATAAAATTTACAATTCTACTGACTTGTTAAACAATGATGAGCTTTCAGCAAGAAACATACTTGGCACTGGGAATTATTGCTCAACTGATGGCTCACATGTGTGCATGTCCTCGGAGAGAGCTGGAAGGGACCTGTGAGTATACAGTGCAGCCCTCATTTCCAGATGAAGAAACTGGACAGAATGCAACTGTTAACCACTCCCAATTCTAGAAAACATGATTCTGTGACTAGTCCAAGATCATGCCAAAATAATCACCTACCTTTAGAAGACTGCCCCCCACCACCCCAAAAATATAAACAGATAACAGCCAACCCTTACACACATGAAAGAAAGTGTTTAAAGCCAGAGAAAGCACTTCCTAGGAAAGAAGAAACATGAGCCGTTTTCTCCAATTTTATAGTTATTTATTTTTATTTTTGGAAACCTACATGAATAGAAAAAATAAAATATGCTACATTTTAAAAACTTCTGAAAGAAATTAATAACTCCCTATGAATCTACCAAAAAATATCTTCTAAAATAACTGATCTCATTTGTTCCACTTTCCTCCCCACTTATATACTAGTGTAATGGGTAAAATCCAATTATCTAAGAAGAAATTAACTTCTCAGGATGTTTATAAGACACAAAATCTTTTAAAAATAAAGTTTTCAGTTGTCTCTGAATCACTAGTACTTACAGCTTATGTCATTCTTTTGGAAACTTCCCTTTTCTGCTTTATATTTTTTGTGTGGGTCTTATTTTCTCATATAAATTTGTCACCCTCCTGTGGAACAGGAATTGAGTTCTATTTTTTTTAAATTGCCACCAGCAACTTGCATATAATAGGACCTCATTAAAGATTAACTCCTCTTTTCATTTAATGACCATTGTTGGGTCAGGCACTATGACAGGCACTGGGATTATAGCAGTAAATGAACATGATCACTACCCTCTTAGATCTTATGATCAAGTCAGGGGAGGCAAAGGCATAATGTCACACAATGAATATGTAATTTTAGAATTGTGGAAGGTGTTGTGAATAAAAAGGAGAGGGATATGATTTGATTTGAGAGATGAGAAAATGATATTAAAATCGAAAGGATGAATAAAATTAGCCAGGTGAAGAGCGAGGGTGTGTATCAGTCTGGAGATCCAATCAGAAGAGAGAAACCACATGGAATTGGAACAGGGAAATTTGATCTAAAGAATTATTAACTATAAGGGGGGACTGGAGTCAAAATGGTTTGGCTAGTAAGAAGTAACACAGAGGAATAGCAAGATAAGGAATACCCTTGAGCTAGAGATCCAGACCCCGTGGGAGGAGAGCTCATGGCTGTTGGTGGCTGGATGGCAGGGAAGTCCCTGCACTCTACACCTGTGGAAGTTGCTGGAACTCCACCTTCTGGAACTTGCCAGAACTCTGCATCTGCAGGGTGCTGGGAAAGCTGCTCACGGTGAGGAGGTACTCCGCTACAAAATTGCCCCGGGGGTGCCAGGGAAGCGGCATGAGTGCGGGAGCCTGATGCCAGAGGAGCTGCCCACGTACAGGAGCCGCCAAGAAAGGAAACGACCCAGGAAGACCTTTTGCCTCCTGCGGTGTCTCTCTAGTTCCCTCTACTGACAAAGCTTGACATGGTGTCTGCTGACAAAGGAAAAATACATTTAAAGGACCCGATAGATTTTTCATAAAACCAGTAAAAAATAAAAATAAATTGGGAGCTGAGAGTCAATAAGTCTATAACCAGCACAGTGGAGAATAGCATAGCAGGCACCGTGAACAGCATGTGCGAAGACTCTGAGTTTGGGGAGAGCTAGGTAGTTTGCAGGAATGAGAGAAGGCCCAAGGCTGCTGCTGGTGTGGGGGGATTAGAGCACGGTGAGGCTGAAGAGCACAGGTGATCTCCTGAGGGGAATGCCTCACTCACAACCATGGAAATGAACCCGTGGGGGCAGAGTGAGCCCCACTGACCATGTCCATATTAACAGACCCTGTCTTCTGGCCATGGCCAATTCATTTATTCAATTAGGTGGTCATAGGGACAGTGGAAATGGAGAGAAGTGAATCCGTTTGATGCACTACATGAGTAGAGCCAATAGCACTTGGTGACAGGATTTGAGGTGAGAGGTGAAGGAGAAAGAGATAGCGAGGATAACCCCCAGGCTTCTGTCAGGAGCTACTTGGCCAATGGCAGGGCATTTACTGACTCAGGACTCTGGAGGAGGAACTCACTGGTGAGGGAGACAAGAATTCAGTCTTACTGATTTCTAGAGGTCTTTGTGTAAACCCACGCTGAACAAAACTTTTATCTAATGTGACTTTTTACGTTCATCTGAAAAAGCAACTGGCAATTCATTTTTTAAAAAATATACTTCTTTTATTGATTTCAGAGAGGAAGGGAGAGGGAGAGAGAGATAGAAATATCAATGAGGAGAGAGAATCATTGATTGGCTGCCTCCTGCACACCTCCCACTGGGGATCAAGCCCACAACCTGGGCATGAGCCCTTGGCTGGAATTGAACCTGGGATCCTTCAGTCTGCAGGCCGATGCTCTATCCACTGAGCCAAACCGACTAGGGCAGCAATTCAGTTTTTGAGTTTGGAGAGAGAGAGGGAGAGGGGGAGGGGAGGAGAGGTTAGGGAGGAGATGAGGGGAAAGGAGGAGAGGGGAGAGGAGTCTGATCCCCTAGAGCAGTGGTTCTCAACCTTGGCTGCACATTAGAATCACCTGGGAATCTTTTTAAAATCCTGATTTCTGTGCCTCATCCTCCAGAAATTCTGTTTCTTTGTTATGGGGTGGGGCCACAACATTAGTAACAAAGAAACAGAATTTCTGGAGGATGAGGCCCAGAAATCAGGATTTTTAAAAGATCCCCAGGTGATTCTAATGTGCAGCCAAGGTTGCGAACCACTGCCCTATAGGCAGGATGGTAATTAAGAGCTGATCTGTGTAAAAAGAGCTTGAAAAATTAAAGGCCTGATAATTAGAGGGGTCTTAAATAATAAGAACTATATAATTTAAGCTCTAGAATAAATTCACCCAGGAACAGAACAGAAAGACAGCTGTGCCATTTAGGGTTTCCTGGTCTCATTCTATCTCACAAGAAACTATTTCTCCTGCTCCACTCCCCAGGGTAATTCATCTTTTTCCCTATCCCATGGGCAGCCTTGTTTTATACTGTTTCCTTTAGTGTTTTAAATACTATCCATATGACCTGCAAGATGTATCTGCCAAATAAACCAATTCTAATAAGCATGCACTATTGCTGCAATACCAGCTAGCTTCCAAGCTGTGTGCTTTGTTGGGGACATGACATTTAAAGATAGAGTACATTATTAGAAGTTCCAACCGTACCAATCTTAATAATCCTAGTGCAAATGAACAGAACACCTCGAAAACATTACAAGTAATTGCTACTTGACTTGCAAAGAATCCATTAAAAGCTACACTTTGATTTATATCTCCACTTTAAATCCCTGATAAGCAAACATTTTATTTACTTATTTTAATTTCTTTATTAAGGTATTACATATGTGTCCTTACCCCCCCCCTTGCCCCCCCACCCCCCACTCATGCCCTCACCCCCCTGTTGTCTGTGTCCATTGGTTAGGGGCTTATATGCATAAGCAAACATTTTAAAACCATATCCACACAAAACCTGGATTACAACAGATCAGCTGTACTCGCTGTCTTAATGAAAAGCTCTGTATCGGGGAATACATTTGGCTGCAACTTAAATTTTGGCTG